CTATTCTTACTGGGGTGAGATTATATCTCATAGTTGTTTTGATTTGCATCTCTCTTAGAGCTAGGGATTTTGAACATTTCTTCATGTGTTTGTTCACCATCTGAATGTCTTCTTTGGTGAAGTGAAGATCAGAATTCGTATTCATTGCTGGTGGGAATGTAAAATGGTGCAGTGACTATAGAAGGCAGTTTCTCAAAACTTGAAAATAGAAATACCATTTGACTGAGCAGTTCCACTACTGGCAGTATACCCTAAAGAAACCAGTACTACCCCTCAAACAAACGTATGTACATCAAAATAGCTTTTCAATTTATATAATACCCTCTTGAATTGTAAAAGGGGCTCTGGTGGCGTGGTGTATTATGAGTTGTACTATTAACCTCAAGGTCAGAGGTTCCAACCTACCAGCCTCTCTGCAGGTGAAAGATAGGCTTGCTGTTGTGTACCATGAATGAAAACTAACCATAGCTGATCCTTCAGCAGGTATTCTGAGGCATGAAATCACATGGGGGGGGGGGGAAGACGGAACTCATGAAATATTATACAAAATGTCTCTCTCAGAGCAGCTGATGGATTGGAACTGCATACCTTTTTGTTGACAGCGCGATTCCTTACCTCTAAGCCACCAGAGCTCCCTGCCCCTAAAAATTTACTACCTTGGAAAGCTGTCAAGAGATAGCTATGAGCAGAAATAAAGTTTCAGGCAGTGTATTTTCTTCTCAGTTTATATTACTAATACTTGTTTAAAAGAGTTGGTGAATCTAGTTAATTTGGGCTACTTAATTCTGAAACTCCTAAGCATTTTCTTCATCATTATTATGTACCATCAAGTTGACTATAACTGATAGTGACCCTATAAACAACAGATCAGGACCTTGCCCTACCCTATGCCATCATCACATCTCTAATATGTTCAAGCTGATCGATATAGTCACTGTCAATCTAGCTTGTTGGAGGTCTTCCTCTCTTTCCCGGACCCTCTATTTTTTCCAACATGATGTCCTTTTCCAAGAACTAGCCCCTCCTGACATGCCCAAAGTGCATGAGACAAGGTTTTACCATCTTTGCTTCTAAGGAGCATCTTGGTTGCATTTCCTCCAAGACAGACTTGTTTGTGTCAATCCGAAGTTTTATCAGTACTCTTCTCCAACACTGCAATTCAAAGACATAGATTCATCTCTCTTACTCACTGTCCAACTCTCAGATGCATAGGAAGCAAATGAAAATATTATGACTTTTATGAGATGTGACCTTAAACTGACACTGTTGCTCTTTAGCACTTTGGAGAGGTTCTGGATGGCAGATTTTCCCAGTACAGCATGTCTTTTGATTTCTTGACTGCTATTACCATGGATATTGATTGTGGATCCAAGCATAAAGAAACCCCTGCCAACTCCAATCTTTTCCCCATCTATCATGTTGTGTCTTGGCCCAGTGGTGAGGATTTTGTTTTCCTCATGTTGAGATATTATCCATATCGAAGGCTGTAGCTTTATCTTCTTCAGCAAGTGCTTCATTTTCACTTTCTGGAAACAAGGTTGTGTTATCTGTATAACACAGGCTGTTGATAAGTCTTCCTTCAATCCTGATGCCACATTCTTCTTGATAAATCCAGCTTCTTAAATTATTTGTTCAGTATATATAGATTGGATAGGTATGGGAAAGGATACAGCCCTGCTCTTTTGTTCTGTTTAGACAACTACTTCTTGGTCTGTGTATGGGTTCCCTGGTAATTCCCATTCTTCTCATGGTTAGCTAAAATTTGTTATGATCTATGCAGTCCAATGCCTTTGCATAGTCAATAAACACAGGACATCTTTCTGATTGTCGTTGTTGTTACGTATGTCTAGCTGGTACATTGCTGACCCTCCAGGTCAGGTGTTCAGAGGATATAACTCACACAGGAGCTAGCTGGTAGATTGACACTTTCTGCCATTGGGTTGGCAGCGCAGTCTTATCCACCAGGTCACCAGAGCTGCCTTCCAGGGTTCTAACACAGGATTTATCTCAGGGCAGCTGCATCAGTACTGTCCCAGGCCTCAAATCTCTGTGTCAGTTGAGCCAGGTACCCTGCTGTACTCTCTGCTGGGCACACACGGATACTCATTTCTCATTGAGCTCCATCTCCTGGAGGCTATGTGTCTTAACGCAAAATAAAACCCACTGTCATACAATAATGGTCTTTTACAATATTTGTCCATATGGGACTGAGTTCACTTAGCATAATGCTCCCCAGTCCCTCCCAAGTAAGGTGGTGTTATTGTTATGTACCATAGAGTCACCTGCAACTCATAGTGACCCTATGTACAACAGCCCTAAACCCTGCTCTATCCTGTGCCAATCTCACTGTCTCCAACACACCTACCCCAATTATCCCAGTCACTGATTCCACCTCATAGAGGGTCTTTTTCTCCTGTGCTGTCCCTCCACCCTCTGAAGCATGATGTCCTTCTCCAAAGACTGGTCCTTCCTTGCAACACATCCAAAGTATGTCAGATGAATCTTCAGAATCCCTACCTCCAAGGTACAGCCTAGTTTAACCCTCTCCAGGATAAACCTGTTCATTCTCTTAGCAGTCCATTGTATATTCAATACTTTCCTCCAACACCACAACTCAAAGGCATCAATTTTCCTTCTATCCTCCCTAGTCATTGTCCAGCTTTCTGACGCATAGTGTTTGCAAAGACCATGGGTTATACCAGGCACGCCTTAGTCTCCAGAGTGACACCACTGCTCTTCAGTATTTTGGAGAGGTCCCTAACAGCCGACTTTACCATCACAATACATCTTTTAATTTCCTGCCTGCTGGTGCATCCATCCTGATACTATCAATTGGCCCTGTGGTGAGAATCTTTGTCTTCTTGATATTGAGCCTCAAATCATAGTGAAGGCTGCAGTCCTTGACCCTCTGCAACAGGCGCTTCAGGTCCTCCTCAGTTTCAGTAAGCAGGGTTGTGTCATCTGCATAATGCATTGTTGATGGTTCTTCCACCAATCCTGATGCCACACTTCTCATAAAGCCCAGCCTCCCGGATAATCTGTTCTGTATATAGGCTGAAAAGGTAGTAATTTAAAAATCATTGCTCCTGAATGCTGCATAGTATTCCATTGTGTGAATGTATCATAATTTCTCAATCTGTTCAATTATGGTTGAGCATTTGATCTGTTTTCATGTTCTTGTGATGGTGAATAACACTGCTATGAACATTGGTGTACAAATATTCTCAGTTTGTACCTCAGTTCTCATTTTCTGAGTATATTCCTAGGAGTGGGAATAGCTGAATCATGCGGAGTTTCTGTTTTCCTTTTTTAGGAAACGCCAGACTGTCTTCCAGGATGGTTAGGAGCAAAACCACAGGGTTGCCCAGTTTGGTGAATGGAGGGAGGAGGTCGGAAGGATCCCAGTGAAAAGACAGGGTAATGATGGGCAAGGTTCACTGGTGATTAATTTTATAAAACATAATCCATTAATGAAGAATAGTGTCAAACACAATGTATACGAACTTTGTAAGCAAACCAATATAAAAATTAAAAAAGGGAGGGGGAACAAAACAAAAATCCCACTGCCAGCTAGTCCGACTCAGAGCCGCCTTCTCACCCTAACTCATGGAGGACAGAACCAGACAAAGAGCCAGGAACATGCGGCACGCGAACTAAAGCTTGATGATTCAGTGCTCAAGGGGACATTTGGGCGTCTTCGTTCCGGGCCAAAGAGACATCGGCCAGTGAGATCTCCTTTAGAAAAAAAGCCAGCGTCAGCACAATTATGCTGTGCGCGATCTCAGACTCTCGGCCGCCTCCGCCGCCGCCTCTGCTGGATACGCACACACAAAATATGCCGCGGCGTCTCCTCCGCCCTTAGAGGGCAATAGGTAAGGAGGGGAATTGCGCATGCTCCTTAAGGGCCGTCGCGCTTCACCTTCGCCATTGCTGGATGACGGAAGCAAGCGGAATGACATTATGGGAAATGTAGTTTTCGGACTGACAGATCCCCGGTGCGCCCCCTGCCAGGCCTGAGAGGAGGACTTCAGATCCCGGCAGGAGGCTAGTGCGGGAGCGGACGCGAAAGGGAACGTGGGGGAAGGGGCGGGGTGGGGCGGGGCGAGGGCGGGCGGGGGGGGGGGCGGCTGAGCAGAGAGGGCGGGGCTCTGCCACGAGCCACCGCCCGCCTCTGAGAAAGTAGGGCTGGAAGAAGCGCTCACCGCCCGGGCCGGGGTGGGCGTGCGAGGAGGGTTCCGCGAGCGTTAGCCGCGCCCCAGGCCAGGGTCCCCACTCTCAGAAGTCGGACCCGAGACAGCCCGGCGTGGGCGCGACGTGGAGCCGGCGGGGGCGGCCAATGCGAAACTGGCTGGTGTTGCTGTGCCCGTGTGTGCTCGGGGCCGCGCTGCACCTCTGGTGGCGGCTACGCTCCCAGCCGCCCGCCGGCTCCCCGGGGCCGGGCCCCGCAGGTGAGAGAACGCAGGCCGGCACCGGGAGACGGGGGTTCGCTAGCGCGCTCGGGACCCAGACTCTGAGCTCCGTACTCTGCACTCCGGGTTCTCTGCTCCCAGCTCTGGGATCCAGGATCTGCGCTGTGGAGTCTGCGTTCTGCGCTCCCAGTTCTGGGATCCGCGCTGTGGGGTCTGCGTTCTGCGCTCCCAGCTCTGGAATCTACACTCCCTACTCCAGGCTCTGGGCTTCGCACTCTGGGATCCACGATCTGCGCTGTGAGGGGTTGTGTTCTGTGTTCCAAGCTCCCAGATTCGGGATCTTCTCTGTGGGTTCCTTGCGCGGCGCTTCCTGCCACGCAAGTTCTCCAGAAATTTCTGGAAGAAGAAAAAGGACACTACCGCAGGGACAAATAATTCTTTTCATCCTGGAAACGTCCAAACCAGTCCAACTTGGGGGCGTGTTTCCTGCTGTGTCCCTGCTCCCCGACACTCCCAGTTGCACCTAACCCGGTTGGGGGGCGGGGGGCGGGGAACCTAGTGCCCTGGCCAGAGCGATCCTGTGTCCTCGCACTTACCCGCAAGTCACCCTTCTGTGGCTCCCGTGCAGCCAGGGTTCTGTGGGTAATGTTTGCGCGTGTTTTGCAAGGCGCCTGCGTTTTGCTCCTAGAAAATAACTTTGCTCTTATAATGGTGCGCTGTCAGTCTGTTAACCAGGTCCAGGCAGGAGATGGTGCATGGCTGTCATGTGTATATGATGGCTGACTTTATGGATTCATTTGTTTGCTTGCCTCATTATAAATGTTTCTCCCTATTTCTACGTCTTGGTGTTTTACTAACTGAATCTTCACAATAACCCCATTGGCATCATCATTTACAACTTAAGTACAAAGATAATATAGATTTGTTTTTTTAAAAAAAATTGTGGTGCTGATGAAGAGTATTGATATTATCATGAACTCTCAAAAGAACAAACAAATCTGTCTTGGAGGTCGTGCAATCAGGGTGTGCTTTAGAGGTGAAGATGGTGAAACTCCATCACACATACAGTGGGCATATTGGCAGGAGCTCCAGTCCTTGGAGAAAGACATCATGCTGGGGAAGGTGGAGGGTTGGAGCAAGATGGTGAGGATGGCACAGGATAGGACAGGGTTCAGGTCAGCTGTTCACACCTGCCAACCACCCACTTGTGACTGATTTCATCTGAAGACATGCATACAAGGGTGAACATTTTCAACACTCTCTAAAACATATTTTGAAAGTAGTTTTTAAGTCAGCCTTCTTCAATGTTTAGTAAGCTTTTGGATGGCCATTCTCAGTGGACAGGTTCCCATACTATCATGATAAGTTCTGCATAAGAGAAAAGTTATTATTTCCTTCAATGAGCTTGCTAGTAGATTTGAACCATCACCCTTTTGACTGGCAACCAAATTCTCTAACCACTGCCACCAGGGCTTCTGGAGTATTTGGAAGTCGTTTTCTATAATACCAGAATTTGTTGTGTACTTTGTAATAAAAAGGAAATGCCTGTGAAGTAGTTTGGCAGAAAGCAGCTTGGACATGGATTAGAGAAAGGAGCTAGGAAGATTGTCAGTGATGGACAGGTAGAATAAGATCCAGAAGTCATTTACAGCCATAATCCAGGAGATTTGCCGCGTGCCATCTCCTTATATTTGTGACTTACATACAGAAAAACCTAGTTTGGCAATAATTTAGAAAAGTCCGGAGAAACTAGTTCAGGATATGGTTGAGATATGGAACATCACTACGTCTAAACTGAAGCTAGGAATACGGTGAGGAAGTAATAGATTGAAGTTCTTGGTGGTGAATTTGAGTCATTTTCTTGATTCGAATGTTTAGATTGAATTGTCTGGTTACTCATTCTTGAAAGTCTCTGAAAAAGTGGAGGAGAGTTCATGCACATCATCAGGGTTTTTTTGTTGTTGTTGGTTGGTGTTTTTTTTTAAATATGGAACACTTCACGAATTTTCGTGTCATCCTTGCGCAGGGGCCATGCTAATCTACTCTGTATTGTCCCATAGTATGTATATGTGCTGTCGAAGCGAGCACGCACATCGTCAGTTTTACAGTAAATTAGTAATTCCCAAATTTCAGATTCATTGGGGGTTAGTTTTCTATCGTTGTGTAGCTGGTTAGAGGATGCTCCACATGATGTTTTTTAAAAAACACGTATTTGGTCATGCAGCAGAAATAACAGTAGTATTTGGCACTTGAAAGGTGTTTGAGTTATTTTAAAAATTCACTTGTGAAGCAACTTTGTGTGTTTTAATGAGGTCAAATAAGTGAAGTATTTTAGTTACATCTATGCTTTTTTACACTTTTGGAAAGATGCTTTCAGGCAGACGAGTATTTGAAGACATCTTTTCAAATTATTTTCTTCAATACAGAAATTGAAACACAAATTAACTGAGGTAATACAGCTTGTTGGCTGTAGGATAATGGTCAGAACTGTCAGATTACTCATTCTTGTTACTTCCTTATGAAAAAGAGAAGTGATACAATCACATCATTGATTCTACCCAAAGCAAATCTATTATTGACATAGTTCCCTAGTTTCGTATGGTTTTATATCTGAGAAGAAATATCCCTGAGCCAAGAATTTTTTAAACAATGTGCGGACCAACTTATTTGTTAATCTGTTGTTAGATGTAGTGGAGTCTTGCTATGTTAATGATGTTATTAATGATGTTTTACTAAACTAAAAGTATTTAATTTTTTTATCTTTAGAAAGCTACATTGTCATATATTAAGTTAAGCATTTGACTGACATTAAATACAGACTCTTTTGACTGAATGTACAAATTCAGCTTAAGTTAGATTTAGGAAAAGAATTTATTTGTAATCTAGGCCTCCCTGGACATGGTTGATAATGTAAAGTTGAAAGTTAGTAGCTACAGGATAAAACAAAAAACACTGACATGGTGTTGATTTTTACTACATTGGGTTACTGTGACTTTAAATAGTTATAGGAAGAGACTGCCTATCTTTCTCCCTTGTAACAGCTGGTGAATTTGAACCACTGACCTTTCAGTGAACAGGGCAACACAGAAATCTCTGTGCTACCAGAACACCTTTTTTCTCCTGTGCTATCCAATAGAAGCATAATAGGAACTATATTTATAATATAAAAGTTTGAAACATTTAATTAAACTTGATTGAAAACTTTGGTTAGATAAGATGAAAATTTTGTATTCAATACTTTTTTGTTCATAGGTCGCTATGGGTCGTCTGCGATTCTACAGCATATTAACAACAACATATTTAACATAATATATCTAAAATGTTATAATTTGACCATCTAATCAATATTGAAAATTTACTAATGAAGTATTTTACATTGTAGTGTTTTTTTTTAAAAAAAATTAAGTGTTCATGGCTTATTATACCAAAATTCATGTACTTTTATACTTACAGTAGCCTTAAAATGATCTCATTAACATAATTCTGTCCCCAGATTTTATTTTTAATTAGTCTTTGAAAAGTTATCAGTATGTTTTTGGGAGTTTCCCCCAACTGAATACCTAGATTCATGGCATGTAAAGCATTGTGTTTCGTGTAGAGATCTCTGTCCTTCTGCGATTTATTTTTGAAAACGTTTGGGCCAGTTCCACCCCTGGAGAAAGAGATGAAATGGATCCTTCTTTGGAACTATTTATAAGTTTATTGCTCTCAAGCTTTAAAGCTGGTGAGGAAAAAGTAAAGGCAAAAAATCTTTCCCTTCTGACATGTTTGTATGAACAAGTTATAAAAATAAAAATATAATCCTACTCAATAGGCCATGTTACAGTCATTTCAATTTAAAAAATAAAATCATGTTTCTTCTCACTACTCCTTAAAATAGATAGGTAGGAGATAAGTTTGCCGGCTCTAGAATTTAGTGGCATGTATAAGAATTGTGATACTTTCCAGCCTGGGAGTCCTCTGACTTCATCACCCGGCTTTAGTTACTCACATGATTGTAGACTGTCCCCTGACAGGGAGCTGTGTGCTTTAGTCATCGTAATAACTGGCACTGCTAGCCCAGAGGGCACGCTTCTCAGGCAGTTCTGGTGCTCCACAGGAGAGAGACGGGCACGCGGCTGCTTTGTGCCTTACCGTTCCAGCCCCATAGCAATGAGTTTACATTTTCACAAAGCGCATTTTCATTGTTGTTCATTTTCAAGTATTGAGTGCTGTCTATGTGCACAGGGTGCTCTGGTGGCCTAGTGAGGAAGGAGTTGTGCAGCCAGCCCAGGCGCTTTAAATTCACCAGCACCTCTGCAGGTCAGCTGTAAGTTAGTTCCCACTTGATGGCAATGAGTTGACCATGTGCCCAGTACCCAAACAGGACCTTTATACACATTTTTTGTTTAAGTTTTACAACTCTCTGAGCTTTTATGCCCATTTTGTAGTTAAGGAAACTGAGGCTCAAGAATTTAAATAACTTTAACGTGAAGAGCCAGGATTCTAGTGGAAGCCTGACCTTTGTACCCTACCATTCTACACTCTGCATTTCCAGACTGAATCTTATCTCAGATATTTTTAAGGTTTTGAAGAAGTTATGTAATGATGTCTTCTTGAACATATACATAATTCATAGAAAAATTAAAGGCTACAACAGAATGCCAGTGCCATTATTGCTTTTGGATAATGATATTTATTGGTGTTCATTTTCACAAATGTATTATTATACATATGCCTTATTTGATAATAAACTTTGGGATGTTATATATTGAACTTAGAGTAGTTGAGAAATGACTTTTAATTTCTCTTGCTCATTTCTAGATCAGTTGGCCTTAGTTCCTCAGTTGAAATCGCATCACTATGACGTGGTGGTTGGCGTGTTGTCAGCACGCAATAACCATGAACTCCGCAGTGTAATACGAAGCACCTGGCTGAAGCATCTGAGACAGCATGCGACATTAAGTCAACGGTATGTGTCCTGATTCGACCTTGCCTGATCTCCTGCAACAGGAATTAAGCAAAGCCTTATCTTAGATAGTCAGATCAGTAGAAGAAATGGGTATTTTGTATTTCTTCCTTATAGTTAAGCCACAAAGTAAATTTAACCAAAGTTTTAAGCCAAAAAGCAGAAACTATATTTACTGATTAACATACCTAGTATTTATATTTAGATTTGTTGTTTGTTTTGTTTTTTTAAGAGTTGTTGTTTTGTGCCGTTGAGTCACCTGCGACTCATAGCGACCCTATGTACAACAGCCCTAAACTCTGCTCTGTCCTGTGTCAATCGCACTGTCTCCAACACTCCCATCCCAATTATCCCAGTCACTGACTCAATCCACCTCATAGAGGGCCTTCCTCTCCTGCACCGTCCCTCCACCCTCCCAAGCATGATGTCCCTCTCTAAGGACCGGTCTCTCCTCACAACATGTCCAAAGTATGTTAGACGGAGCCTCAGAATCCTTGCCTCCAAGGAGCCACCCGGTTTAACCCTTTCCAGGACAAATCTGTTTGTTTTCCTAGCAGTCCATGATATTCTCAATACTCTTCTCCAGCACCACAGCTCAAAGGCATCAATTCTCCTTCTATCCTCCTTGGTCATTGTCCAACTCTCTGATGCATAACAAGTGATTGTGAAGACCATGGCCTGTATCAGACGCACCTTAGTCTCCAGAGAGACACCGTTGCTCTTCAGTACTTTGGAGAGGTCCCTAACAGCAGACTTTCCCATGGCAATGCGCCTTTTAATTTCCTGGCTGCTGGTGCCAAGACTGTTGACTATGGAGCCAAGCAAACTAAAGCTGTGTACAATCTCAATCTCTTCACCATCCATCCTGATGCTGCCAATTGGTCCATTGGTGAGAATCTTTGTCTTCTTGACATTGAGCCTCAATCCATATTGTAGGCTGCAGTCCTTGACGCTCTGCAGTAGGCGCTTCAGGTCCTCTTCAGTTTCAGCAAGCAGAGTTGTGTCATCCGCATAACGCAGATTGTTGGTAAATCGTCCACCAATCTTGACCCCACATTTCTCCTCATAGAGCCCAGCCTCCCGGATGATCTGTTCTGCATATATGTTGAAAAGGTATGGAGATAGGATGCATCCCTGGCGTACGCCCTTCCCAATTTTGAACCATGCAGTGTGCCCTTGCTCTGTTCTGACGACTGCCTCCTGGTCCAAGTATAAGTTTCGCATTAGAACGATCAAGTGTTCTGGGACTCTCATTCTTCTCAGAGTCAGCCATAGTTTGTTATGATCTACACAGTCAAATGCCTTTATATAGCCAATGAAACACAGATAGACATTCCTCTGGTATTCCCTGCTTTCAGCCAAGATTCATCTAACATCAGCTACAATATCTCTAGTACCACGACCCCTTCTAAAACCAATCCTGGACTTCTGGTAGCTCTCTGTTAATAAGAGTAGCAATTCTAAAAAGCATTTATTCCAAAATTTGCCAAGATTTGAGTTCACATTGATGCACTGAATTTTTATTTTGTTGATGTAGGGTTGTTTTGTTGGGTTTTCCCAGCTGCATGATTATTTTAATACACCTCGCTCACTCTCCCTCCTGACTTTGGTAGCACAGCTCCCATCGGAATTAGAGGACCTGATATCTGGTCAGGAGCCGAGGTCTGTTTCCTCTTAAGGAGCTTCTAAAGCTTAGGTGTGGTGGTTTTGGCTGCCATTAAGTCTACCAGGACACATAGTGACTCTGTGAACACATCAAGCCTTGCTCTGTCCTGTACCATCCTCCCCATTTCTGCCATGCTCAAGTCCAGTGTGGCAGTCCATCTCATTAAGTGTTTTCCTCTCCTCTGCCCTTCCCACTTTCCAAGCACAATATTTCCAGACGTTGGCCCCAGCTGACAGCATCTCCAGAGTATGTGAGATGAAGTCCTGCCATCATTGCCTCTGAGTGGCATCCTAGTTTCACTTCCTCCAGTACAGACCTACTTGTTCTTTTAGAAGTCTGTGTCAACACCAATTCAGAGGCATCACTTCTTTGGTCTTCTTTGTTCATGAGCCAACTTTCACATGCGTACAAAGGAATAGGAAAATGCCAGGGCTTGGCCCAGGGGCATCTTGGTCTTTTAACTAACATTGTTGCTCCTCAGCACTTTGGAGAGTTCCTTGACAGCAGACTTGCCTGGTGCAGCATGACTTTCCATTTCTTGGCTCCTGCTCCCATAGTGTTGATTGGGGATCCACGTACAATTAAATCATTGACAACCTTAATGTCTTCTCTGTAATGACATTGACTGTTGACACAGTGGTGAGGAGTTTTATATTCTTGATTTTGAGACGTAATCCATATTTAACTTTCTACAGCAAGTGTTTCAGAACCTTTTTATGTAAGCAAGCTTGCATCATTTATATAACCTAGGTTCTTGATAAGTGTTCTTCCAATCTTGATGTCACATTCTTCTTTATATAGTCCGGCTTCTTGAATGATTTTTTTCAACATACAGATTGAATAGGTATCTATACTCAGTGAGATCCATAATTTATTATGTTCCACATAGTCAAGTACATCATCAATAAAACACAAATAAAAACCTTCTGATATTCTCTGCTTGCAGTTACAGTCCATCAGATAATCAGCAGTAATATCCCTCGTTCCATGGCCTCTTCTGAACCTAGCTCGAATTTCCAGTAGTTCTCTGTCTATGTTACTGTTCCAGCAAATTTTGAACTCTTTTGTAAGATCTTACTTGTAATGTTATTGCTGTTGTTCAGTAACCTCTGCACTCTGTTGGATCACCATTTTCTGAAATGAGAATAAATATGGATCTCTTCCAGTCTGTTGGCCAGAAAACAGTCTTCAGATTTCATGACATAGACTAGTGTGCTTGCCTGGGCCTGCGTCTCTTTGCTGAAACACCTCCGGTGGTATTCTGTCAATTCCTGTAGTCTGCTTTCTGCCAGTACCTTCAGTGTAGCTTGTCTTTCTTCCTTTCATACTGTTGGTTCTCGGTCATATGCTGCTTCCTAAAATGGTTCAGTGTCAACCAGTTCCTTTCAGTACAGTGACTGCATGCTCCTCCCATCTACATGAAACGTTTTCTGCCCATAGAATCCATTGGTGTTGCACCAAGGCTTGAGTTTGTTCTTCAGGTCTTTCATTTTGAGAAATGCTGAGTGTGTTCTTTCCTTTGGTTTTCTGACTCCAAGTCTGCACATTTCCTTATAATACTTTGCTTCATCTTCTTGAGCTGCCCTTTAAAATCTTGTGTTGTGTTATGTTATTTCATCATTTCTTCCCTTTTACTTTAACTTCTCTATATTCAAGAGCATCTTTCAGAGTGTCTTCTAACAAGCATTTTTGGTCTTTATAATGGCCTAGTATGTAGTGATAAGTTAGAGAAGAGATGCTTGGAAGTTAAACTTAGTTAAGTGAAGACACTCAGGTGATAAGCCGGGAGGTGTCTCTCTGGATTGCATTAAACCGGTGCTTTGCTAACTGAGTGTGTGCACTATTGCAGAGCTAATTTTCTTGTCAACAGTAATGAACACTGGTATGGATTTCCTGTCTTTCCCAGAGTGGCTTTCAATGTCTTTTCAAGACAGGTTTCCTTCGCCATGATCATTTACCAGCAAATGCAGAAAAGCCTCTGAAACACACAACCTCCACAACCCCAGTGCCCTGAACTCTTTCCTTCCTGGAAGATGGTGACCCTCAGACAGAATCTTGTGGGCACCGTGGCTCCTGTTGTTCTCCCACACCCACCTCCAATCCATCATCCACGCATCTTCTTGGTGCTACCTTTAGATCATGTCTGGAATTTGACACCTCACACCCTTTACTGCTTCTGTCCCCTGGATTTTTACAGAAGCCACCTTAGCTGAATTGCCTGCTTCCTCTAACTCTTGACATTTCGTTTTTCCATTCAGCAGCCAGAGTGATCCTTTCAGATTAATTTGTCCACACCTGTTCTCTGTGTGTATGTCCACTGTTGGAATCAGTCACTGTTAGTCCATCTCCTTGAAGGTCTTCCTCTCTGCCTCTTCACCTTTCTAAGCATGATGTCTTTATCCAAGGACTGACCCATCCTGACAACATGTCTTAAGTATGTGAGTTAAAGTTTTCACCATCCTTGCCTCTAAGGAGCAGTCTGGCTGCATTTTCTCCAAGATAGACTTGTTTGTTGATCTGGCAGTCATCCATGGGATTTTTAGCATTCTTCTCCACCACCACAATTCAAAGGCATCCATTCTTCTTAGGTCAGAGGGGCAGAGAGAGACAGATACAGGGAGAAGAGGAAAGGAAGAAGGGGAGCAGACAGAGGGCAGGGCTAGACTTATCAGAGGTAGTGACCAGGTCTCATAGAACAGGTGGACTGAGGACTAAATGGAAGAATAAGATCTGTGTAGACAAGGACTAAAGAGCCCAACTCCAATGTCATTTTCTTTTTTTTTTTTTTCTTCTCCCTGCCTCTTTTTAAACAGTCCCTCGGTAAGGACTATCCACTTAGCTTTGTATCCAAAGACGAAATTTGTAGGTGAAAGGAGTTAGGAGTTAGCCTTCGTTACAGACTGGTTCATTTCAGGGTCGAAAATATGGAACGCTTCACGAATTTGCGTGTCATCCTTGCGCAGGGGCCATGCTAATCGTCTCTGTATCATTCCAATTTTTAGTATATGTGCTGCCGAAGCGAGCACCAATGTCATTTTCTAAGAGGAGAAGATAATTGAGTGGGAGAAGGAAGAATTGGCTAGGATGACTGCTAGCTTGCTGACTTGGATAGTAATGAAATAATTTTTTTAAAAGGATTCTAAATAGGAAGAGCCAGTTTTGTGGGGAAAGCTCTGTGGATATGCCGTGTTTGTCATACCTGTGCTCATAAATACTTACCAGCTGGGGTTCTGAGAGAGAGTTTAATTATATACATGTGTATGTTTATGATAAATTTCACTGATAAAGAAGGTGTGTAGGGCACCGGTGACAAATTATATATGCTGTACTCTATTGTAAATTCTACATAGCCATTTAATTCTTATGAGTCAATGCTTTAATTTGCCAAATTTTGATATGTCACTTAATTATGGTTGCAACAGATAAAAGCCTAGTGTTGACATAATTGTTTCTTCTGTGATAAAGAGTAAGTCTAGAGTGGCATTGAGATCTATGTCAGAACTTTACCCTGAGCCCATGATGTGACCTTTTTGCTGAATTAATAATAGCTTCAGTCACTGGAAGAAGATTGCTTTACTTTTTATACTATTTATAATGTAATAGCAACAGACACATCATACTTTTTTAGACGTTTCCTCTGCCTATTTGCATTTTCTCTATTGCCTCCCTATATCTGGACAATCAGTAGAATAAGCCCTCATCTGGGGCACTGGTCAGTTTCCAGGTGTACTGTGTCCACTGTGACCGAGAGCATGTAATCAGTGTGACACCACCGGGTACCTCACGAGTAAAATCATACCAAAATGTAATAAGATAATGACAACAACAGGAAGGCAATTATGACATTATTCATTTTGGACATTAATTTCTATTGTTTTTATCATAATGCAATTAGTTGTCAGTTGTTGTTGTTAAGTGTCATCGAGTCACCTGCAACTCACAGCAACCCTGTACACAACATCTCTGAACTCTGCTCGATCCTGAGCCCGTCCACTGTCTCTCACACAGTTTACACAATCTCACTTTTAATAATACTCGTGTTTCACTAGTTCACAAACTGAAAACATATTAGTTGGCTCCTGTAAATTAGTTGTAATGGGATTAAAGCACACAACTCCTGTGGATCATAAACTTATCTTTACGTATCTTTGATTTGGTAAATGACCGATGGATTTCTATGTCTTTTACTTACAAGTTAGGTCTAAAAGAAAGATACTCATTTAGGAAACATGTAGGTGCTTGTTGAGGGCAGGAAGTGAAGGAACTGGAGTAGGAAGAACTGGGAAGAGTACCCACCTTCACTAGCCAGGGAGGCAGGCTGAGCCTCCAGTAAAGAAGTGACGGGCTGCCCCTAGGCAGCGGCATAGAGCCACAGAGGAGTGAATCAGCAGGGCTGGGTGAAGAGTCTCTACTGAATTTGCAGTGGGTCATTGATTACAAAGATGGTGATGTTGCAATGAAAGGTAGTTGCTGTGGGAGCTAAAATTTCTCTTGTCAGATGAGTAGGAAGGTGAGCCTACAATTTTAGTGGATCTTGTAGGATCTCAGTGTAAAGAAATGATAGGGACAAAGATGGTAGGTAACCAGAACTTAACATTAGAACTTCGTGTTTGTAATGTGTATTGGAAAAGTTGTGGCTCAAAGGAATAAGTAGTGAAGTCAAGTCTAGGAAAAGAGGGAAACTCCTCATGGATAGAAAAACTCACCTTGAGATGAAATCAGGTAAGGGAGATTGTAGGTAAAGATGATGTCTGTAGACTTAAACATGAGACATTTCACTCCACTTTGAAACTGTGTGGGTGTTTCTGGTAGCCAGGGCGAGCAGTCAGACTTGCTCCGATACAGTATTGGGTTAGAGGACTTAACATACACATCACTGAGTAATTAACATCTTTAGTTTGCTCATTCACTTTTTGCTAGACTAGAAGGGTTAAGTTAGAGAATGAGTTCTGAGAGATACTTGTGTTCAGAGCTCTAATGTGGGTATGTGGAATCATGCATGTATATGCATGTATGCACAGGCGAAGGTATGGCACTGACGCTAACCCCTCTGCCCATCTCAGTGTGCTTGTCAAGTTCATCATAGGTGCTCATGGCTGCGAGGTGCCTGTGGAGGACAGGGAGGATCCTTACTCCTGCAGACTTCTCAACATCACCAACCCAGGTAAGGCTTCCAGCTCCTTGGCCTCACACGCTGCATGTGGTGTTGAGGGTGAGGGAGGGTTACTCAGAGTTGAATGATGTTGTGTACCTGCAGGTTGGGACCTACTCAGCTTACCCTCCAGCCCATTTTCAAAGGCAATATGTCACACGGGAAGTGATTGCCTGTAACAGACTAAAACACACCTTTCCTCAAAATTTTTCTTTCTCCCTTTTTAGCCTATTCTCTTATAACTCAATGTATCTGTAGAGAGTCTTCAGCAGAATGTATCTCTAATTTGTAGATAATTTAATAGACTCTGTGCATTTCATGGGCATCGTTTTTGGTCATGGAAGGAGGTGGTTTCAGCACTGGCTCTCCAGGGAGATTATGGTTAACTGGCTGCACATGCAGCAGTTAGTGCTTCTGAGTGTGGGTCTCAGCTCAGAGTGTAACTTCAGACAAAGTCTAACTCTTGGTCACAGGTAGTTTCTGAGCATGCTTTGGAAACCTACTGGGTTTGAACTGGGCTGCCCAAGTCTTTGGTTTCCATAGAAACTAGGAATCATATCACTTGGAAGGTACAAACCCCAGGAGTCAGCAATTGATAGCTTTGAGGCATAGAGAAGAAAGCCAAGAGTTTAGGGCTCTAGTCCCAGGATGAACCCCAGTTTCCTCCCTCCCTCTGAGAGATTCCATACTCTGTGCTCTGTGAGGGGTTTTGGATGTGAGGGGTTATTAATTCTTGAAGTGGGCCTTGGTTTGACTAAAAGTCAGCATCACTTGCTACCTGTCTGGACTCTGCGTGCCGTCAGGACTCCCCAGCAATAGATGTGTGTGTCGCTCACACCAGTAGGAACATTGTACTTGGTCCACTTGTCTTCACTTCTTTTAAAGGCGATACATTTTCTTTCTGAACTTTTCTGCTGGACTCACAAGCTAAGGCAAATGATAATTACTTCCTAATACACTTTCTACAGCTTGCTACATATTTTCATGTATAGTTATTACTATCTTTCTTTCTGGCACAACCAGAAAAGTATCTTTAAAAGAAAACTTTTTTATTTTGCCTTTAAAAGAACTGAGTACCATGATAGATGGAGAAGAGAGTGATGATGTTAACAATTTCCTCATTCGGCTCCACAATCAACACTCTAGGCACCAGCAGTCAGGAAGTCAAAAGATGAATTGTATTAGGAAAATTTGCTGTCAAGGACGTCTCTAAAGAGTTATTGAGCGATGACATCAGTCTAGAGACTAAGGTGCACCTGATCTCGGCCATTGTCTTTACAATTACTTGGTATAGATCAGGGATCTGGACTAAGGATGACGTAAGAGTGGATACCTTTGAGTTGTGGTATTGAACAAACAGTGGACTGCCAAGAGAACAAACAGATCTGTGTTGGGGAGGGTGAAACCAAGCTGCTCCTTGGAGAAAAGGATTTTGAAACTCCATCTCACATACTTTGAACATGTTGCCAGAAGGTACCAATCTTTGGCAAGGACATAATGTTTGGAAGGGTGGAGTGACAACTCAAGAGAGGAAGACCCTAGAATGAATGATGGCAGGTGTGTTGGAGTCAGTGAGACTGCCTCAGGATAGGACAAGGTTCAGAGCTGCTGTACATATAGGGTAGCTATGAGTTGCAGTCTATTCGACAGCACATAGCAACAACAACCAGTTTTATCTTTCTCCTTCACTCCAGGGCTCACATGTACTCTTTAAATACCTTTTACAGCTGCTCACTCAGTTCTAGCTACTGTCTTTACATTTTGTGCTTAAGAAGCAGAGTTGTCACGTTTCCTGACAGCTTTCTGTTCTTGCTCTTGTCTAAAGAGATGCACTCTTTTCTAGTCAGTAGAGTGACTTTAAACTATATGCCGAGTGGAGTAGAAGGTATTTTCTCAAATCCTGAAAGGCTCATCAAACTTGGGCTTTCCATGGTGTTCTGAGGATGACCGGGGTATGTTTGCACATTGCCTTGAAGCAGCACACAAGGTTCCCTTAACCAGGTGACCCTCAAGGTTTTACCAGCTCTTCTGCTTTGTGACATTTCTGGTGGTTAACAGCTCATCTTTTCTCTTGTGTGTGGGTGATTAGAACACCTAAGTTGCCTGGTAACAGGAGTATCTTCAGTGGTTAATTTAATAGCATCAGTGTACCATAGGGTTGGGAAAAGAAAAGAAACCCTCAGCATCTGATTGACCAGAAGAAGCTGTGTGCTGATTGGCTCCATTGTTAAGGTCTGTCTCCACTCTTATCAGGTGAGAGCCAACCAGTTTTTAATTGTAAAGCTGGGTCTGTGAGACTTTTTACAAGGCACCACAGCTACTTTTGTCCTACTGTGGCACACAGGCATCATATTTTTGGAAGAACAAACTTCTATTTAAAGCATTTTGGGACTCCCCTTTCCTGGGTGTGCTTTTCCATTTGGTTGTGATATCAACAGATCCTGCCTGGGCATGAGAGTAGCTTGTGGCTTTTTTAAGAAAATGTAGGTACTTCCTCTAACGAGCAAACCTTGTTTCAGGGGACTGCAAGTTTGCATTTGCTTGGTTAAATGAATAGTTGCTGACACAAGGGGTTCACTTTCAGTGCTCTTTTTCTTTCTTAAGGCTTTGGTGAGCTCTAAAGCCTGTGATCTAAATACAATGGAAACAGCATTTCTAAGAAAGTCTGGAGCTTTTCCTAGAGGAGGGTGGATCTACTTACCTGGCAACATTCCTTTGATCTTAGAAAAGACTGTTTAACCTTTTATGAATTTGAGATTTTTATCTGTGGGGTGTTTGATTGAGCCCTTTCTGTTTGTTTTGGAGATCCCCCCCCCAATCTGTATGTTATGCACCTTCTACTTGGAACCAATCTATATCTGACCCTGCGGTGAGTTTCCAGACGCAGTAAACAGCTCAGGAAGAGAGTGTCCCTTCATCTCACACACACTGTATACTAACAGTGAACTAAATGGACCAACACTGAGTTTTGACTCGAGTCTTCCCAGGTTTGCGTGGTTATTAAGATCTTATTTACATACTGTGGTGCAGGTTTATCTTTAAAACACTCCAGTCTATTGTTAATATTTTACTAAAGATTGTAGATTGGTTTGTTTTGTTTTGTATTAACTGGTTTTCACTCACACACACAGTTCATTACAAGGCCATCCTTTATGTCTTATCAGCTACACCTGTTCCTCTCCCTTCACCCCACCCATCCTTCCCTATGTTCATGCGTTTTAAGCTTCTGGGCTCATACTTGCTGGGTTAGAGACCATCACTTTTCTGTTTTCAAATCAGCTTATTTAGAGATAATTAAGAGTGGGAAGCTAGCATGTAAACCACCTCCTTGTGAAATAATTTTGTTGGACCAAAGAAAAACATTCTTTTCTGACTCTTATAAGATCATGAGTTTTAGACAAACGCAAACCAATAAAATCTTTTTTAAAACGTACACGCTTTGTGGCATCCACTTCCTAAACAACTTGCCTCCAGAAACTATGAACTTTGATAAATGTCAATAGTTATAGAGGGGCTTCAGGCCATTTGTTCATAGGGTCGCTATGAGTCATGCTCGACTCGAAGGCAATCAACAACAGCACCACCACCCTCTGTTCCTGTATTTACAAATATTTTTACATGTGTAAAACTAGGTTGTCACCTTGTTCTAAAAGAGACTTGAAAAACAATTGCTGTGACAGGCTGGTTCTAGAAATTGCATGGAAAAGCAAACCCTGTTTCATTTCCATGTTTGTACGTGTGTGAGAGAGAGAGAGAAAGAGAAAATGCAGCTATCAAGTACTTCAGCCAGCGTTACTCCAATAGCCTTACCCTTCCTTATTGTTTCCCCTTCACACAGTTTACCTTCACACAGTTTAGTGGGGACCAAATGTTACTGACTTTTGCAACCTTTTGGAATGTTTTTCCTTTACAACAAATTAGAGAGTGGTGTGGTGGGGAGCTCTGGTGGTCTATCCCAGGAAGTTGCACTTTAATCCCGAAGGCATGCAGTTTGGGTCTACCAGCTGCTGCCCTGCGGGAGAAAGATGGACAGTGTCCTCCAGTGTGATTAACCTGCCTCTGAAAACCTGACGGAAGATCAGATATGGGTCAGTTCCGACTCGACAGTATACACAACAATATGTATATATAGTAAATAAGTTTGTGAGGGTATGTACAAGCATTGTTAACCAATAGAGCAGTGTGATCAGTAAAAAATGGAGGCTGCTCCTTGAAAAGACACAGGCTTGATAGAGTATTTTGGATTTCTCTAAGTGAGACTCGGGTTTTTTTTATCATATGAGATGCTTTTTCCTGCACCATCTGGATTTTTTTATGGTAATAAAAAATATTATCTGACCATGAGGGAATGGAAAAACAACATACTGGGTCATTATGCCTGGCTTGGATTCCTGGCTGTACTTTGGGATTTTGGACAAACTGCTTTACCAGTTACTGGGTGTCATTTTCTTTATCTGTAAGTGAGGTGACACCATAGCCGTAGCACGTAGTTGTGAAGATGTAAAGTTGCTGGGACCCAGGACTTAGCACCAGAAGACTGGACTTGCAGTTGCAGCCAGCCCAGGCAACCACAGGTTGTGTGGCAAGCAGTGCTGAGTGGAGCAGGGTATCTATCAGTGGCTGCTGCAGGCAGTGCTGGGTCACCAGGCTTGCCTTCTGCGTCCACTCTGCAAACAGCCAGGAAGAAGTGCTGCTCTTTGGGTCATGGGCTTCTCTGTTCTCAATGTTTTGCAGTGAGAGTTGTTAAGTGTTATTTAAAGTAACTTCAACTTACAGCCAGGAGAGAATAAAATAGACGAATGGGACCGCCTAAGAACCAAATTCCTATGCACATCAAAAATCTTTCCCAACAGGGCAAGAAGTAAAAAATATTTGTTGGTGACATATCTGATAAGGGTCTTATACCTAAATTATATAGAGTGCTCCAGAACCTCAACAAGAAAAATATAAACAATCCAATCACAAAATAGGCACTTCACCAAAGAGGATATTCAGATGGCAAACAGACATATGAAGAAAGATTCAAAATCCTTAGCTATTAGAGAGACGCAAATCAAAATAACTATGAATAGATACCATCTCACCCCAGCAAAAATAGCAAAGTTAAATGCTGGCGAGGTTGTGAAGAGATTGGAACTCTTATTCACTGATGGTGGGAATGTAAAATGGTACAACCACTATGAAAGATGGTGCGTAATTTTCTCAGAAAGTTGGAAATAGAAACACCATTTGACCCAGCAATTCCACTAGTAGGAATATACTCTAAAGAAGCTAGAGCTGCCACCCAAACATACCCATGCTTATTGCTGCATTATTCACAATAGCAAAGGGATGGAAGCAACCCAACTGCCCATCAGCAAATGAATGGATTAAAAACCTGGGGTATATATTCCCACAGTGAAATACAGTGCAACACTGAAAAACAAGGAACTCATATCACACAACATGGGTGACTCTCTGGAAGACATCCTGGATGAAATATCTCAGTCACAAAAGGACAAATACTGCATACCACCACTGTTATAAAACAGGACTGACATGGGGGCTGAGGAGGAACTGAGAAAAGAGGGGATAAATAATGAACATTGCATTGGAAAAGATGAAAGAAAGAACTGTTTAAAAGGGATATATGATTACACATTATTTGTATGACAACAGTCCATAAATAAGAGATGCATAGCAAAGTGGACTGAAGTGGGGAGGAAATTATGCAACAGTGAATTAATTTCTTTTTTTTTTTAAGTGAACTAGGTGGCAGAATAGGGAGGAAAATGGGCAACAGTGAACAAACTTTTATGTAAATGTTCTTTTTTTAAAAAAAATTTTATTTTATTATTTTTTGTGCATGTACCGTCAAATCAGATCTGACTGGTACAGGAGGAAATTGTCCCTCCTTCTCCAGCTGGATTCAAACCATGTACCTTGGGGATTGCAGTACAGCTTCTTCCCACTAGGCCACCAGCGCTCCCCTTGTAACTTTTCTTTAAAATCAACATTAAGAAAATTACTTAAGTTACTTCATACTGGGATAATTGCTCCAAAAAATTATAGATATTTTAGTTGTACAACAAGAAATGGAATTTTTTTTTTTTCAAGAAATGGAATTTTTTGTTGTTGTTGGTTGAGTATTTTTAAAAAGGTTGGTTGTTTTTTTTTTTGTAATTTGCAGAGAGGGCCGCTTTACCAAATAGATACCTTCTAATTGACCTTCTGTTGCACCAGCTGCTCTGTGGGAGAAGGATGGGCAGGCCCCTCCTGGGCAATTTACAGCCTCTAAAAATCCAAGAAGGGTCAGCCATGAATTGGTTCCCATTCAGCCATACACAACAACAGCCTTTTCATTTCCTGTGCTCCTGTGGTGTTTTTACATCTGTGTGCATGTGCTTTATAAAAAAAAGCTGTGAAAGCCTGCTGATCAGTTTGCTCAGATGGAACTAAAAACTTCCATATTAATTTTTTTAAAAAATTCAAGTTTCTTTATAGAAGCAGCCATATTTTGCAGCATTTAAAAAAAACTCCTGCCGTTTGTGAAAGCTGTGTAATGAGTGGTTCTGTAGGTACTGTGTGGACCCCTCTCTCGTTGGTCCGTAGCCCTGAATCAGGAAATCGAGGCCTTCAGTCTTCCTGAAGACGCTGCCTTGGAGCCCTCCGAGGACCACGTTGTCAGCGTGAGCTTCCGCGTGCTCTATCCAATCGTCATCACCAGCCTGGGAGTATTCCACGAGGTGGGCTCCAGCGGCTTCCAGAGGAACATCACGGTCAGGCTGTACCAGGCCGAGCAGGAGGTACCCAGGGGGCTGGGTGTGTCTGTGTGTGTGCTCGCGGGCAGGAGGTACCCACGGGGGTGGGCGGGGTTTGTGCGCGCCGGCAGGAGGTGCCCACGGGCATGGGGGGTGTGCGCGCGCGGGCAGGAGGTACCCACGGGGTGGGGGGTGTGCGCACGCGGGCAGGAGGTACCCACGGGGGTGGGGGTGTGTGTGCGCGGACAGGAGATACCCATGGGGGTGGGTGAGGGTGTGTGTGTGTGTGCGGGCAGGAGGTACCCACGGGGGTGGGGGGGTGTTGGCATGCGCGGGCAGGAGGTCTCCTCCCCTGTGATTTGAAGCCTCTGCAAACCCACTCCAGAGACAGCTAGGAATCTGTTCCCGCTTGATGCCTGTGAATGGAGATCTGTGTGTGTCTCATGCCTCCGTGCCTGGTGTATCTTTTGTTTGTTTGCTTGCTTGCTTCTTGTTGTGTACCATCGAATGGGATCTGATTGGCACAGGAGGAGATCACCCTTCCTTCTTCAGGGGAGCATCTGGTTTTCCAGCTACTCTTAAGATTTTCTTTTTATATTTGCTTTTAAGTACTTTGATTGTATTATACATCCATGTGGGGGGTTTTCCTTTGTATTAGACTAATTGTGGTTTTGCCATGTTTTTTGAATTTGTCTAAACATGTTTGGGCCAAATTTGGTCATTTTTAAGCTGTTATTTCTTAAACTCTTCTTGTTTGCATCTCTCCACCTCTGGGGTTCCGTATGTTGCCCCAGATCTCTCAGGGTTGTCCTAGAATCCTGAAACTGTTGTTCATTTTTCTCAGTGTGTTCTCTCTCCTTTTTTATTAAAATAATTTTAATTAATCTCCAAGTTCATTAATTCATCTGTCTAGACTGTTAAGCACATCTAGTGAATTCTTTTAGGTGTTGTGTTAATTCCATAATTTAGTTGTTTTTCACAGTTTCTTTCTCTGACATCTCTTTTCATTCATGTTGAGCGTGTTTTTTCATCTCCAGACCTGACCATGTAAAAACAGCTGTAAAATTTTTGTCTGCTTATTCCAACAATTGAGTCAGCCTGGAGTCTTTATTATCAGCTTTTCTCTTGTGTACAATGCATATTTTTCTTTTTTGTTGTAAGTCTGGTAGCTTTAGGTTATAAGGTTATAACATAGATATTGAGAAGAGTTCATTGTGGGGACTGTGGTTTATTATCTCCCTCTAAAAAGTGTCCATTTATTTTAATTAAATAGATTCATTTTTTTAGAAATTAATAAATTAAGAAGAGACACTTAAATTAGCTGAATCAAGACCCTAGAATTTGTTTCCCCCACAAGCAGCAGCAGCTAAAATCTTTACTACCTTCTTTTGTTCTGAAGTTGGCAGCATACATTAGACTTGGGCAGTTTGTGAGAATGCCCTAGAACTCTTGCAGAGCCTTCCCTTTCTGGAAGTTTTCCTGCTCACTGGTGAGTGTTTTGTTTATACTGAACCTTTCTCAGATTTTTTTACAACTACAAAGACTAAGGCTTCCACCCAGGATTTGGTCACCCCAAGTACTCTCCCTTCTTGTAGATACTGATTCTCCTCCAGTTTCTACCTGCCTGGTTAACACTTCAGTACCTTCAGTCTAGATTCATGATTGTTACTGTGGACGACTTTTTAAAATGTCTTTGTATTATCTTCAGTGCTGATTGTTATTCTTTAGAAACAGATAGAATGTTAGAAAGTCCCCGATAAATGCACACATTTGATCAAGTTCCTTTTTGCCACTCATTTCTGTGTCTTATCAAGAATATAGCCTAGTTTGTGAATGTGCTTATTGTTATAAAAAATGTAAGAGGAAAAAAACCCAAAGCCCATTGAAAGCCAGCCATGCAATTGTTATTAGGCGCTTTCAAGCTGACTGAGACTTCACAGTGACCCTGTGCACAGCAGATCCTGAGACAGTCTCACTGCTTCTGACACACCTAACCTTATTACCCCAGTTACCGTATCAGTCCACTTTATCCAGGGTCATCCTTTCCTGCACTGTCCCTCCACCCTTCCAAGTATGATGTCCTTCTCCAAGGACTGGTCTCTCCTGGCCATGTGTCTAAAGTATGTGAGACGGATCTTCAAAATCCTAGCGTCCAAGGAAGAGACTTGGTTTCACCCTCTCCAAGACAGATCTCTTTTTTCTCCTTGAGTTCCATGTTACTATGTTCGATACTCTTCTCCAGGACCATAACTCAAAGGCATCAATTCTTCTGTTATCCGCAGTCATTGCCTCTGATGCACAGCAAGTAATTGTGAAGACCTTGATAACATACTGTTACCCTTTTCTGGAATTAGGGGTGACCTTGACATTCTTGACATTCACTCATTTGTGTTCTTGGTATGTCCAGATCCACAGCCTGGAGTTAATTCCAACTCTTTGTCGACCTTCCTTTGGGTTTCCAGAGTGTGGATGTCTGTGTGAGAGGTGACCGCCTAGTCTTTCTCCTGCCTAGTGCCCACTGGCTTCTGACTGCTGACCTTCCCTTCGGCAGCTTAGTTCTTGAATCCCTATGTCCCAGGACTCCTTGTCTTATTAGCATATGTTGTTGTTGTGTGCCGTCAAGTCAGAACCAACCCATAGTAGACCCACCAGTGGGTTTTAGAGGCAGTTAATCACAAGGGAGGAAACTGCCCATCCTTCTCCTGTGGAGCAGCTGGTGGCCCCAAACTGGGTGCCTTCAGGATTGCGGATTGCAGTGCAGCTTCTTGTCACACCACTAGGCCACCAGAGCTCCTATTACCATATAGACCTTTTCTTTAAAAACTAAATATTGTCACATCAAGATTTTTTTCCCCCTCAGTCAAGTAGTTTGGAGAAAGATGGGCCGTCTCCTCCCATGTGATTTACTTGATTTACTCCCTCTGAAAACCTGTTGGAGGATCCACTGTGGATCATTTCTGACTTAATGATAAACAACAAAATAAATCAACAAAGACCTAAAGAAAATAATTTGGATGTAAGCAAATCTAAAATAATAATCTTACTATGATTTTTCATCTTGAAGGCTCTTTTTGACATCTTTTGTTGCGTATAGGAATCTGACTTGGGGAAGGTCTGATGTTTTAACATCTTAGTTTAACATCTTTCACTTCTCTTGATGCTTTTAGTTTCAAGATTGTTGGGTTTTGTTTCATTGTTGCTGCTTTTAGAAGTTACAAAAATTGTTATTTCACGATTAGGAGCTTGATAGCAACTTAGACTGTTTTAGATATCTTTAAGATGTTCAAATGACTGCACTAGAAAACCCCAGCACAGCCAACACACAAGAGAACAATGCTAATAATGCTGGTGGGGCCCTCGAGGCCTTAGTTGACCGTGGTGGAAAGTGTGTGAAAACATATGACATTTACCTTGCACAACAAGAAGGAGTAATGGATTGTTTTTTTCTTGTCCCCCGAAACCCACTCTGAAGGAGGCCCTCTTCAGTGCCCGCTTCAGCCCGCCCAGCTGTGGTGTGCAGCTCAAAAAGCTGTGGTATAAACCCGTGGAGCAGTTCATCTTACCAGAGGTATGGGGTGTGACGGAAGCAGTCTTCTTCCTGGGGTGAAGTGTGCTTTCAGAGGCACACAGGCAGTGCTTTGCTGTATTGGGGCAGCTCCCAATCTCTATGGATGGTACACTGTAGATATATTGAAATGAAGCACCCAAAATTAGCACATAGTGGTTATATTAAAATGTAGCACACTGCATGACTGAACTATGAGCATACTGAAGTGTAGGGTCTGCTGTGCTCGTGCCCTGTAAGGATGCTGAAATGTCCTACGCTGCATTCATAGCCTGGGTCTATTGAAGGGCAGCACACTGCACTCCTGAACTGCGTGTATGATGACACGTGGAGTGCGGCAGTCACACCTCCAGAGAGCTTAAGGACACCTCAGAAGTTCAAAACTAGGAGAAGCCCTTCATGTGACCGTGGAGCAGAGAACAGCTGCATAACAATGGCAGTGACCCAGAATAAGTATCAGTTGATAAGAGGATCAGAAACAACTATGATGTGGGTCTTGGTTACATAGTACTGCTGTACCAGAAAAACCACAGCTTTAATGCACAGATTGTTTTCTAAGATGCCCTACATAAATACTGATGCATTAACATAGTGAAGAAACCCATTCTCAATTGTGATTAGAACCACAGAGACTGAAAAGTTTTTCAGGTCTGAGAAAGAGTACAGATAGGTGAGGGGATTGAGAAGGACAGGCTCCTCCCATGCAGCTTACAGCCACTGAAAACCCTGGAGGGTCAGCTGAGTCAGTTTCAACTTGATGGCAGTGAGAGGTAAATTTGCTATTACACATATCCTACTTTGTACTTGATCTTGCTGCACCAAACCTGCTAAATTTGCTGCATCAAGCCTCCCAAAGCTTATTAGCTCAGAAAAAGAACCATGGTGAACAATCTGCCTGGTGATTGTCAACGAAAAAATGGCAAAAGAAAACCAGCAGGTTTAAGGTTTGCTCCCCAAGGCTTCATAAGCCCCTCCTCCGGTAGCAGGTCAGCGGTGTCAGCATGTGGAGTGAGGAGCTCTTGGTCCTGTGTGACTCACTGAAGCATAACTTCATGTGGGAGAGGCACCAGTTCCAGTGAACACTGCTGTGTGCGGCTCTTAAAAGACTTCTTTCTCTAATTTCGTATTTTCCTCAGTGGTACAGTTGAAACCTGAAATTCATCTCAGTAGAAAGACCCTTCTGTATTGTCTAATGTTAATAATACAAGCACTTGAATTTCATTTTTTGTGAAATGCTGAAATTGTCTTGGATGATGATGTTGTTGGGTGCCATTGAGTCCACTATGGTTCATAGTGACCCCGTGAGCAGCTCATCTGAACCCTGCCCTGTCCTCTGCCATCCTCATCATCTCTGATCTGCTTGAGCCTGTTGTTCTAGTCACTGTGTTTCACTGACCCTCCAGCTTTCCAGGTATGAGGTCTCTCTCCAAGTACTGGCCCCTCCTGCAACATGCCCAAAGTGTATGAGATAAAATGTCACCATTTGGTTGTATTTCTTCCAAGATGGGTTTGTTTTTATTGCAGTCTTGCATAGCATTTCTTCAGTCCTCAGAAGTTGTTGATTATAGGCACAAAGATACATGTTTAAGCCATTCCATTGGTGTAGATGAGAAGTTAGCTGTGCTTTGAGAACTGTGGCAAGAACATGAGACAGTACCACTCCTCTAGTACATAAGACAGAACCACAGCTGGCTTAGATAAACTCAGAGAATAAATCAACATTGACATTCGGACTCCTGGATTGTCAAGTAATTACACTCTTTACCTCAGGAATGTCAGTGGTGTTAAGTTTATGTGCGAAACGTCTCTCCTGAGCTCCAGGCACACTTCTGTCTGCCAGGGAGCCCTGCCTGCATATTCCATGGCTTTATAAAGTAAGAACATTTCCACAGCTCTTGCCCTCATCTCCCATATTCCCAGATATCTTGGATTCTGGTCAGAACATGAGGTTTATCTTTCTCCTGACCATATTTAATACCAGTCCTTTCAAACTTCATCATTGTTGACGTTTCAGAATAAAATCCGTCAAGGACAAGAAGCTGCCATTGCCCAGAGAAAGTCCAGCACAGCTTCTCAGAGTCATAGTTCCTTGTCAGTTTCCAGTGCAAACACATTGATTCCTGTTACCTCACATGGAGATGGTCAGCTTCCTGTTGAATGACTCACATCACAGAAGGGTGTTGATTTGCCTTCAGTGGACGGTTTCATTAGCTCAGTAGAGTGATTTGAATGCACATGACCTGTAACCAGGTCATGGTTGTGGTTGTGGAGGTGGTGTACCATTGAGTAAAAACTAACCCATGGCTGACCTTCCAGCGGTTTTTTTAGAGGTGGTAGCTTGCACGGGAGGAGATTACCCATCTTTCTCGGCAAAGCAGCTGGGGGAATCCAGACCTCCTGTTGTTTGGATTGACAGCACAAGTCCTTACCCACATTGTTTTAAGTACTCATTTTCCTAATTAGACATCAGTCTTACACACAGCTCTGTGAAGTTACTACAAGTGTAGTTTTTCTTTGAGGATTTGGTTAGCGGGGCGTAGTGGCTGTTAGTGGCAGTCTGGCGTCCTATGAGTGTCTCTCTGACATCCCGCCTCTCTTATGCAGCTGCTTGCTTTACCTCGCCTGCAGGTTTGTGGTGTGACCTCCCAACCAGCATCCCTCTCTATGTTGCTACTCTGAAATTAGTGACTGCTCTGGAACTGAACCAGACGGCGCTGCTCTCCTGCTTGTGACCCTCAAAGCTTCCTTACGGTCCTCAGGATAAAGGACTCTCTCTTACGGCATCCAGGCCTCCTGAGATTTAGTCTGCTCACTTCCAGCCCACCTTTGGCCTCTCCTGGCCATCTCCATAGGAGGTTGTCCTGCCAACCCAAAGATGATGCTACTCTAGCAGATTGAATCCACACTCAGTTTCACGAGGAGAAAGATGGGCAGTCTCTTCCTGGGTGATTCACAGCCTTTGAAATCCCCCTGGAGGGCCAGGCTGGAGTCAGTTCTGACCGGAGGCAGTGAGATTTGAGAGGCTCCTGTCCTTGAGCTTCACCAAGATGAAACTACCGCCCGGCTTTGTTCTGGCCTGCTGGGTTGTTTGACATCTGTGGCTCTCTGTGGTTTTATCTCCTCCCGTACTCCGGCAACTGCCATGCTGTCTCCCACTCCACTCTTCTCTGAACCACACAGTCTTAGCAGCAGGGTGTGAAGATTCCTCTTTTTTCATGTCTGCACTGTTTATCTGGATTGTTTGAAGATCACAGCCCTCCACCTGGTGTGGCGTGGTCGCTACCTTCTTGTAGTTTGTATCTTCAGGTCCCTGATGGCCACTAATACTCAGCATCTTTGCTTGTGTGTATGACAACATTTACTCAGACCCCTTGCTTGGATTTTAATTGTGTTACTTGTCTTCTTAGTGAGCTGTCAGGGTCAGCTGTGTATTCTGAGGACAGAGCCCTTGTCAGACGCAGTGAAGCCTGTGGGGGCTGAGATGCTGCAGGACAAGCTTGCTTTTACAGGTCTCACAGGTTTTCTGTATTTGACAGGGTGTGATTCCACACTTTGCCTTTGCTCTGTATTAGCAGAAAATATTTTTCTTTTCTGACAGGTTTCCAGCTTGCACTGCATATGATTTATAAGAAATCTTTTTTGAAAGAAAGACTTAACATTATCCTAAAGGATTAGTTGAGAAGTAAGCTAATTACTAAGTTTTTACAGAGCGCATTGTGTATTGGGATTGCTAACCGTGCTGTGGTTTCAGATGTGTATCTGATGTCTTTATGTATATGATGTGCATACCCCTTGTAACTGGGCGCTCTGGTAACCTAACGGGTAAGGCATTGTGCTGCCAACCCAAAGGTAGATGGTTCAGGTCCACCAGCTACTCCGTGCGAGGAAGAGAGGCATTCTCCTCCCATGAGGTGGACAGCTTCTGAAAATGCACTAGAGGGTCAGCTGAGGGTTGGTTTTGACTTGACAGTGCGTAACAACAACTCTTTAAAATATATGGAATTAAACTATACAATTCTGTAATATATCACACATATGTGCATTTTAACCACAATGTGGTTGATTCATGAAAATGGAACGCACAACACCATGTAATTTATCTCATGTTTCTTGATTTAATAAATCTGAGTGACAGCCCTGATTCAGCCTCCATCAAGCAGAAGAGAGGCAGGGACTGTGTTGGTGTGTTGGTCTGTAGGAATGTCCCGGCATCAGAATAGTTCTGGCCAACACACCTAATTGTATTCTTATAAGTAGGTGCTGTGCCATTACTGAGATGCTGTGGACTTGTGAACCCTGCCTTGTTTTTAGACTTAAAGCTTTCTTATCTTTATTGCATGAATTTTTCCAAAGAGACTAAATGTCAGTCAGCAGAAAGGAGAGCTAGAAAAGCCAAAGTCTTTGCTGTGGAGTTGGAACTGACCCACAGCTGTTGCTCCTGCAGGTTTTCAGAAGCTGTGAATCACACAGAAATCCCACAGGGCAAGTGGTGGCTTTGAACCACATCCTTTTGGGTTGGCAGCACCACTCCCGATCCACTAGACCCACAGTGCTCCCGCAGTGCTCCCTGGAAGGAGAGCAGGTACCCACAAGGCCGTTGTGCGTGGGCAGCTGGCCAAGCCCCACTGTCCATCCTCTCTCTAGCTCGGTGTCCAGCACAGCAGAATGTTTCCCACAGGAGCCCTAAACCAGCACCGGACCCTGGGCTGGCAAGTCTATTCTGGTTCACAGCAACCTTCCAGGGGTTCCAAGGCTGTGACTCTTCATCTACCCCCACTAAGCAGAGGGTGATTAGAACCACCAATCTTCTGGGGAGCAGCCTCAGGTGTGCCCACTGTCCCACTGTGGCTCCTTGAGGAGCCCTGAAGCTCTGCAGGTGTGTGACAGGCCATGACGATGATGGTGCACAGTGGGTACAGTGACGGCCTCCTGAAGAGCCTCAGCTCTTCCACCGTTCACATGGAGAGGAAAGGCTTTAAAAACATGCACACCACCGAGCTGGA